AATTTGCAGTTCAACCACTTTGGGTGTGGTTGATGGCATTTTCCCAAGGTTTCATCTTGCTACACATGTTTGTGAATAAAAGCATTTAATATGTATGTAATCTTCAGTTCTTCAATCAGATTTGGTCTTTGATGCCATTCAGGGTGGCTAGAACTTTATGCATGTGTGCATGACCACATACACACGCACACACACACACATGCTTGACCCCAAAATTTTCCATTTGCCTTTTATTTCTTCTACTTCCCCATTTCCTTTTTAGACATTTTATTCTGATATCAATCAAGGTATAGTTTTCATTTCTTTTTATTTTTCTACTTTTTGAATTCTTTTCTAGAACTGGTTCATCTCCTATTCTTCAGAAAATTCTAGAGATGTTACTATAACTTCAGTTTTCTATTCGAGGAAATTAAAATTCCTGAAGGTTCTATCCATCATGAAAATTCTTAGATAGCATTTGGTTGTGAATGAAAAAGCAATTGGTTTGCCTTTTTGAGCACAATATGTTTTATTTCTGTTTACTCATTATTTTTTTAGAAAAACTTGCATTTGCAGTAGCTTCTATTTCTTTACTGGGAAATAAGCTCTACTTTGATTTAGAATGTATTACAATTGAATGGACGTAACCAGGTTGAAAGTGTAATTTTGAGACTGGAATTTTGATTTTATGCTATTAACACATGCTATTTGTGTTAATTATACGGAGGGAGCAATTAAATAAACAGTAAACATTGGGTTTTAGAAAATTAAAGTTTGAAAATTACTTGAACTAAATAAATACACCAGTCTCTGGTAATTAAATTGCCAGGTCTTACAAAGTTCTGTGCTAGCTCCTATTATATTGAAATTGCATAGAACTCCAGCAACTGATGTAACATTTGGATAAATACTTCTTGGGGGCTGAGGTTTTCCAGATAATACTGAATGGCAACTATATTATAGAAAACAGTTTGCTGTCCTCTAGAGCAGGGATCCCCAACCTTTTCGACGCCGCGGCCCGGTTCCGGCGTCAGCTGGGCGCCGCGGCCCGGTTCCGGCGTCAGCTGGGCGCCGCCATCTTTTTTGACGAAAAATTGCTTTTTTTACCAAAAAAAGATGGCGGCGCCCAGCAACCAGCAGCCCGGTAAGGCTTGTTCCGCGGCCCGGTACCGGTCCGCGGACCGGCGGTTGGGGACCCCTGCTCTAGAGGTCACACTAACATTTGCAGGTTTGGCGCAAAAACCATCAATTGTATTGGCATCAGTGCAATTAGATTACAGTCTTGACGATTTAATGAACTGATGAGCAGTAATGGTAGAGAATCACAGACATGACTTTGGAAGAGGAGTGTGATGGTTAGCAAAGCAAAATTTAAGCCTAGGGAAAGAGACTATTAATATAGTATAAACTTAAACTGCTATACCTTGACTTTATTTGAAACAAGAGAGGGGGAAGGGGAAAACATTGTCAGGCTTTCAAGATTTGGATTCTATGGCTTATATCTATCAAGTATTTCTTGTGGAGTCTGTTTCCTGACTTGGCCTAGCTCAGTCTTGAAAATCTGTTTCTTGTGTTCCCCAATTTACCTGGCTTTAAATTATGTTTTAGAATTATCACATTACTTTTTTAAGGTCATCTCTGTGATTCTCCACAATAATAAAAGGAGCATGAGCAGAGACATTGTGTTGTGTTTTTTGTTCCAAGAAATCAGTTTTCAATTTTTTTAAACCTATGATGTGGTTCATCTAGCCATTGGAGATAACATGGCTTTTTTAATAGATAATATCTCATACTATCTTCAGCTAGTTCACCAACAGCAGCAGTTTCTAAACCTCTTCTAACCAGTTTCTAAACAAGGAGATCTTGACTACAATTATTCATGCACCAGTAATCTTTTTGTTATATTATTATCACATAATTTTTCTCTTGAATGATTCTATTCAAATTCATTAGCAGGAATTCTGACTTAGGTTTCTTTTAAAACATTTACCATACAAATACCTTAAAATATTTCATACAAAAGAGAAGACCTTTTCTATGTGTTATCTGACTTTAGAATATCTAAGGAAATTCCATTGATGCCACTATGAGTTTTTCACAATATTGGACAATAAGTTTGTTTGCCCAACAATTTTAAATTGGTTTTATTGTTCTTGTATATACAAGTGTACTATGGACATGTTGGTTTTTATCTTATTATGTGTGAATAGTCTATATTATTTCAGATATATTATACTTTTTATTGTTCGTCACCATAGAGTTCATTAAGAATAAGGTTAGAGTCAAGGTAAAATAAATAAAACTATAAACAATTTCAGAGTTGTGCCTCTGCAAAAATACTTCAAAGTAGATTTTCCTACTATAATAACTCAATACATGGAAGTTGCACTAAATCCTAAAATTTCATTAAAAATAGTCACTTAATTTTTTAAACGTTATTTTATTTCTGTTCCCTGCTATTAGTACTTTATTTGCTAGTTGTTAGATAGTACTTTAATACAATGAAAACTACTTATCTGAATTATATATAAAAGGGATATTTCTATATATCTATTTTTTTAAATAAAATAAGTTTTCATTTTCTGTTTATATTCCTTAATATACTTACACACACACACACACACCTGATGTCTCTGCTCTTATTATAGCTTCTTGTTGGTTCTTCACATATCCTTTTCTGCATGCAGATATCCAAACAAAACTCAGTTTTTCAATGATGACTGGAGAGTAAAGTATTTGATAGGAAATAGTTTCATAGAAAGGGAAGGGATGGCAAAAAGAAAATCTAAAACAACATTCAAACTATCTCTATCGAAGACTAGGGTTGGATTGGAAGTGACGACTCCTAGAAATGGAAATGATTTTGTACTAGCTGCTGAACATGGATGGTTACTTTCACCAGCATTAAAAGGGCAGCTATTGATCCCAAAATGGATTAGGCTGTGTTTGCACTGCTGAAAGCCCATTAGTTTATGGATCACTCAAAGCATTTGAGGGGGTGATCTGGGGGAAAGAAAACTTCCATGCAACCTTAAGTCTGCTCGTTGCAGAAGGCCTTTAGTGGGGTGAAAATGGATGGAACAAATAGGGTTTTACTTATCCAAGGATTGCCAGCTAGATTGAGGCCAGCTGCCAATTCTTCTGATGAACTAAAGAAGAAGGAAGCCTTGCCCTTCAGGTTATCCTTGAGTCCCAACTGTAAATGCAGTCGTTTTGCTGAGCACCTAAAACACTGCCATATTAGGAAGGAAGGGAGAATCTGGTCAGATGGTGACAAAACTGTTATAAACTATAAATTGTTCTTGCACAGCTAAACTGAAAATGAAATTACTTCCACTATGCATTCTAACAATTTCAATTAAAAAGAAGTGAAAGTGGAATTTTCTCCTGTGTTGTTCAATCCAATCCTCATACCTTTAAGTAAATCCCATGTCAATAGAATCTATATATATTTATTCAAATAATTGAAATAATATATATTAACTTAATGTGTGTGTGTGTGTGTGTGCGCGCGCGCGCGTGTGTGTGTATGCATGTGTATGTATGTATGCTAACTTAAAGAATATGGCCAAGATCCAGGACACATGACTCCTAGGGTATTGTTGCAGCTGTAGTTGTAGTTGTAGTTGTAGCTATTTCAGTGCCACTATACCTTCTAATAAACTTCTCAGACACCCATAGGTTGTGTGGTGCAAGGGAAGATGGATGGGCATATCCCCAGTCTTTTTCTCACCTTTCTCAGGCTCTGGCAACCAATTGGTGGTGGCAAAATCCAGGGAGTGAGTAACCATTGGTTGCTTTGGAACCAAGACTGAAATCTCTTAACACTGACGGCTGATTAGTAAAGAAGGAGGAGCAACTCAGATGCCTGCTGGCAAGATAGGGCTGGCTGGGAGATGCCAGCAGGCAACTCGTGAACCCTGTTCCTCACTGGAAGGAGGAGCCCTTGATACATACCAAAATGGAGAGTGTGTGCACTTTTCCTCATGCTCTGCATTTCCCTTTATTCTCTCTACACAGTGGCAGAAATTTCCAAGAGTCACCTAAAGAGTAGGAGGGAGAAAAGGGAGGTAGTGGAGGCTCCAATGGTGCTCTCCTGAAGATCTCATGAGGGAAGGGGAAATGGCACAAGCCCATATTGTTATGTGGAAAGAGGAAGACAATGGAGTGACTGGGATACCTGCTGGTGAGGGGGGGCTGGCTGGGGGGGAAATTTATCTGTATTATTTCTTTCACGAATAAACACGCAATGAATTTGGATGTACTTTATTAATAGAAGTGGGAGTAATTTTAGGCAAGAAAAGGCTGGCAAAGGAAATATACTTTGTTTATACAATTTTTAAAAAACAGATGGTGTGTTTGTGTGTGTGTGTGTGTGTGTGTGTGTGTGTGTGTGTGTGTGTGCATGCACACACGTGGGGTACACATGTGTATCAAAACTAAAACTCCTTCATTAGTGAATGAATCCCAATCGCAAACCAAATTAGGCATATTTTGACAGATTTAGGAAATGTCCAGATCAAAGCAGATGAAGCATTCCAAGTCTAATTTTACCTCTTCATTAGTGGATTCAGAATTTGGAAGGACACCAGGATACAAATGCTGTCTGCTGTCTATTCCCCTTTTCCAGCCTTTCCCCGCCTCTTATTCTTCAGAGTAAGGCAAACATCAGGGTGAGAACTGTACTTTCATGATCCTCAGAATGTATACATCTGAAAAAAAATTGCAAAAGGCTGCAAAGATGAGAGCAAATTTAAGATAAGAAAAATTAAAAACTGAAAGAAATCGAAAGGCTCATTTCCTCTTGTCTTCCCTAATACTGTAAAATGAAAATGGGTTTTTATATTATATAGGACTGCAAAAATATTCATTGTCCTGGTTCTGTATTTTTTAGGATTGTAGTTTGCATGTTCTGGAAGGGAGTTATGACAACTGTAAAATATGTGATGTGTGATTTGCATACCATTCCTCTGCTAACAGTTTATAACAGCTATGCCTTGTGTTTTGTTTTGTGGTTTCAGGAGCAGAAGGCACAGTGTTCCCAAAATCTATAGAAACTCCTAATGTCAGGGCAGACCCCTTCAAGGAACTAAGGTAAACTCTGACATTTAGTTCTAATGTAAATGTAAAGGTACCTTGCTTGAATTTTGTGTTCTGGCTGGTGATATTTCAAATCCTGAAGTAATTAAGGAACATGCAGTTGTATAGATGTCACTGAATAGCAGAAAACAGTTATATTTCAAGTAAATCTGAATTTTCATTGGCTCATGGAATTAAACTCTTATATTTGTGACTGGGTTTTTTTTTGGGGGGGGGCTAAAAAGGTCTCTTTTTGGTCAGTAATGATTGAGTATGGCCTCCAGGTATCACAGAATGTAAGCAAAGAGAAAAGTGGTACAGTGGTCAAATTACTTTCTATACAGATAAAATAACTTGGAACCTGTATTCATCCATGACAGCTGTCACTAGCCTGATTTATGAGATCCTATATAAACGAAGAATAAGCAGGACACAATCCACAATCCATTGTATTTCTTTTTATCCAATTTTGCCTACTTCCAAACTCTCAATGCAGCAGCTATTTTGACAGCATGGTTTTTTTTTTCTTTTTTGGGTTTTCCCACTTTTCAAGGTACATAATGAAGTGGCTCTCAGCTATGATAAGGATTCCTGCTGAAGGCCCTGGCAACCATCTACCCAGCAGTGTTTTCAAATACAATAGCGACATTTATTCCCAGCAGCTGAAGCAGCTGAGTTCCAGCAATAGTAGATGATTGATCCAAATTAATTCATGCCAGTCATTTGTTTCATCTCCCTTCCTCAAGCACAGTTAAAAAAAAATAGGATGAATGTCTCTGAATGAAATAAATTAATAAAAGGTCATAATAAGCAAGCATTGTTGATATAGGTCCACAATTATATTAAAATGTCCTAGTGGTGAAGATTTCGCCTCCCGCTTGATTGGCTGAGTTCAATCTTAGGTAGCGGCAGATGTTTCTCTTTCCTAGGGTGCAAAGAAAAAATATATCTTGCAAACTTCTTGTGAGGTGTCAGGAAGGGCATCCGGTAAACACTGAGCTCCACCCAGTTGCCCCAACTCTATCCCAACCTTATGTCTCCAATATACTGTACGTTGCACCACTTCCATGGCATATCTGGAGATGAACCATACAATACATTATAATTTCCTTACAATGAGTTGTGAATTATCTAAAGGCTGGCCGTTTTCAGGCTGGCCGCTGAGACCAGTGGCAATATGTGCTTTTCTTCAAAAAAAACATTCACGTGTGCACCATCATGTTTCACTGAACACTAATTCTCTCTTTGCCTTGTACTCTTGTATCTTTACTGGATCGATGCTTGAAGCTCTTGTAATTCTTTGATTTGTATTGTTTGAGTCCTGAAATGCACATATATCGATATTTTTGGTTTCTTTCATCTTCTCCATCTTTGTTGCTTTTATTGATGCCTTGTGTATCATGCAGAAGAATAAGTTCCAGGTGATTACCTCGCCATCACTCTCCACAGAAATTCTATAATCCCTGGATCATTGTTCTTTACAAATGTGGGGTCGGGTTTTGTTTTGTTTTTTGAAATCCAGACACAGTATTGTTCTTTCTTGGGAAGACTGGCCTCTTAGCTATCATCAGAGATGTGAAGACACTGGGAGAGTTAGAATTAATGCAGAGTATTGTTTGTAATAAACCTTTAGAGTGAGTGACATGGTTGTCATTTAACATAAAGGAAAAATAGCAGGTCTTGTGCTGCTTTTCAGCTTGTTTGACATGAATAATCATTGTCCTAGCTTAGTTTATGCATTTCTTACTCCAACAAAACTGCTGCGCTGCATATGTCCCTTTCTTGACTGCTGAGGGGGAGAATAAAAGGATTGTGGCTAATTTGTCCCAGTCAAGAAAGGAATCGGAATAAAGAGTTCACAAAGATTTCTAGCACCATCACATCAACAGAATGTTTGCCAGTATATACTGAAAGGCAGCATTTGTGCAACGAAGCACCCACTCCAATGAAGTTATTCACTCCAATGAAGCTGGCGCCATCATTGCCTACTAATCATAATGGCTATATATTATCCCCAATATAAAAAGCAGTATGCCTCTCAATACCAGCTGCTAGGGAATATGAGGAGAAGAATAATATGGAGATATTTGTGCTTTCCATCTGTTAGTGCAAGTATGTATAGATTCAGTTAACCAACGTGCCTACCGTCCCTGTCCTATTGTTTCTCTTATTCTTCTTTTATTTTTCTTATATGTACCCATTTCATGTATTCACAACTATGTATATACTTATACTTATTATCTTGTAAACAATTGGCAAATAAAATAAATAAATAAAAATAAAAAATAAATAAACCTCTGAGGTCTGTGCTGGATTAAAGAAGAAATTTAGAGATGGAAAGCTATTCACGGAGGCACCTTTTATACAGGGACTGTATCTAGTATGGTTACGTGTTTATTATCCTGTTCCCATTATCAGCCCTTTTTTAAAAAAAAACTGGTTACATTATTTGGCATATATAAGTAATCAGATTATTTTAAAAAAAAAACTCAGATCTTTTTAGTTCATTTGTTATTATACCGGGAGCTGCTAATTTATATACTAGAGGTAGTCCTTGACTTACAACCACAACTGAACCCAAAATTTCAATTGCTAAGCAAGGCAGTTGTTAAGTGAATTTTGCCACATTTATGAACCTTTTTGCCACAGCTGTGAAGTGAATTACTGCAGTTGTTCAATAAATCTGGCTTCCCCCGTTGACTTTCCTTGTCAGAAGTCGGCTGAGAAGTTTACAAAGGGTGATTACTTGATTCCGGAACAGTGCAACTGTCATAGGTTGAGATGGGCAATTTAGAAATATTAAAGATCAATGTAAATAAATAAATGCATGCCAGTTGTCAAGCGCCTGAATGTTGATAATGTGACTGTGGGGATACTGCAATGGTTGTAAGTGTGAAAAACAGTCATAAGTCACTTTTTTCAGTGCTGTTATAACTTCGAATGACCACTAAACAAATGGTTGAGAATTACCTGTACTTAGCATACATTCCCAACCATTAATTTAAAAAATCCTTCCTAAGCCCCAAGTACTATGTTTTTAGTGCTTTCTGTTCACTCATATAAGTCAGGACAATAGTTTCAAGATGACATGAATAAGTGGGACCTTTTTACATGCCCATTTGAAAAGACCAGAAATTTGTTTCACAACTGCTGTGAATAGCAAATGGCTGCATGCTGTAGATTGACAATGAATGCATCTGAAGTGCATCCTGTTTCTTAGCAGGAGAGAGAAGCATAAGAACAAAAACCATTGGACCCTAAGAGAGCTTTAAGTGAAAAATTTCAGGTAGAAGGGTAACTGGGAAAGCTGAGATTTATTCACAGATAAACCTATTGCTAGAAAGGAAATGGCTACAGCAGTTTTAAATCCATAGAGCTAAAAGAGGATTATTAAAAAGAAATCTCATCTTTAATGAAGGACTATCACTTACAAGAAATGTTGTAATCCATCTCTGGCTTTTCTGCTCTTTGTGACATTCAGCTGTGGCTTTTGTGAGATAGGCTTATCAATAATAGATATTAAAGGCTCTAATATAACTTTGCTGTCCTGGTGATTAATACTATTAATACTGGGATATATATATATTGGGATATATATTACCTTTCTGGGCAACAGTGCTATGAATGTGTTTTTAGGCAAGCAAGTAAATGAATGCATTCTCCTCCATCAGAAAGCCCAAAGCAAATTAATATAACAGACCTATTCCTGTCACAGTAACTGATTGAAAAGTCTCTTTGGAATATCTTTGCATCAGCCCACAGGTGGTATTCAGCAGGTTCTGACCAATTCTGGAGAACCGGTAGTGGAAATTTTGAGTAGTTCAGAATACCACCTCTGACTGGCCCTGCCCCATCTATTCTCTTCCTCCCGAGTCCCAGCTGATTGGCTGAGTCTTCTTTTGTTGCGCTGCACAGGAGAATGGAGCTGGAAAGCAGGTTAGTGGGGTGGGGAGAGAATGGGGATTTTATATTATCCTTCCCCTGGAGTGGAGTGGGAATGGAGATTTTACAGTATCCTTCCCCTGCCATGCCCACCACGCCACACCCACCAAGCCACACCCACAGAACCAGTAGTAAAAAATATTGAATCCCACCACTGCATCAGCCATGTAGCTACTTGGTAAAAGTAGAAATTCAAGTCAAAGCTTAATAAGTGTTCATGAAATAAAGTGTCCTGACAATTGCCTCTTTACCACAAGTGCAACATTTTTATGCCTACCCCACAGTAGTGCTCTTCTATGCTTCTGTGATATTCAAAGAAAGACAAGTGGGTTGGGAGAAGGGTAATGCCCTCGAACGCTCACTGTTTCCATTTTCATTTGTCAAAATGTGGTTTCCTATACAGGTAGTTTTTGACTTATGACCACAATTGAGCCTGAAATTTCTGTTGCTTAAGTGAGGCAGTTATTAAGTGAATTTTGCTCCATTTTATGACTTTCCTTGCCACCACTGTTAAGTGAATCACTGCAGTTGATAAGTTGGTAACATGGTTGTTAAGTGTCTCTGGCTTCTCCATGGACTTTGCTTAGCAGAAGGTCACAAAAGGTGATCAAGGGATCCCAAGACTGCAACCATCATAAATAGGAGTCAGTTGCCAAGTGTCTGGTTTTGATCACATGACCATGGGGATGCTGCACGTGTGAAAAATGGTCATAAGTTCCTTTTTTCAGTGCCATTGCAACTCTGAACAGTCACTAAATGAACTGTTCCAAGTCAAGGACTACCTGCATTCATTCCCATTAGGACACTATTGTACAGTCGTCTATGGGTTTCACCCCCAAGATTTTTGTTTTGTATCCTGCTTAGCTAACCTTATATTGTTTCTTTACTGATAGAAGTAGTCCAACCATTCTATTAACTGGTCTACATCTAAAAGTGTTATGTTCTTATGAGAGAGTTATAATTTAGCCTTTAAGAATTAGAATTAATCTCATTTGCAGTCATTTGTGTTCACATAGTATCTAGATGTTTGTAACCCAACAAGACAGACACAGACTTCAGAGAGTAATTAGGAC